GCCACTTCCGGCTTTTTTCTTTTTGCTTATGTGGTGCTGAGGAATTGAACCCAGGGCCTCTGGCATGCAAGGTATGCGCTCTACCACTGAGCCACCTTCCCAGCCCCAGTCCATGTACTCTTATCTCCAAGTTTATATATAGAAACTCAGAAGGCTGAGAAAAGAGAAATCGAGTTTGAAGACAAATTTGTGACTCAAGTGGTAGAGTGCCTGCTGTGAGTGAAAAAAATATGAGCAAGAGCATGAAGCCCCGAGATTAATACTTAGTATTGGTAAAACAAAAGCAAACAACAAAAACCTCAAGCATATCCTCTGTGGGTGCAACTCAGTGGTACAGTGCTTGCCTAGTATGTATCAGTTCTGGTGTTCCATTATACCAACAAAATTTAAAACCATGGAGTGTCTTTGTTTAAAATTTTCAAATGGCTTCCCATTACACTTATAATTTAAGCAACTCAGATGAGTGTCAGTAATGCTGGCTACTTAGGAACTAGAGGTTATAAAGATCTGTCTGTAGTCAGCTCAAATAAAAAGTTGGCAAAAAAAACCCCCAAAACTTGCCTTGCATGCCTGAGGCCCTGGGTTCCATTCCTCAGTATCACATAAGCAAAGCTGGAAGTGGCACTATGGCTCAAGTGGTAGAGCAGTAGCCTTGAGCTGAAGAGTTGAGGGACAGAACCCAGCCCCAACGACCGGACCACACACACACACACACACACACACACAGACACACAGACACACACACACACACACACACACACACCCCTTATCTCAACCGGACCCAAAAAAAAATTTTTTTTTCCTGCTCATTCAATCTAAGTAACTGCACAGTCTCTCCCACCTCTCCGAGTTATATTTACATAATAGTCATTTTCTTCTTGTTGACAAGTAAATATTTTATTTTTCCATTAAGATCTAAATTCCAGGAGAATTAGTCCTTACTTGTTTACTGCTGTATTTCCAGCTTCTGATAAATGAATGTATATAATTACAAAAATGCAAAGGTTGTATTAGAGCTATATCCTCTGAGTGAGTTTCAATGTGTTTTTTCTTTTTAAATAGGGGTAGTAATGAATATGCTCTGCCTCTCTTAATATTATGACTACTAATCTATCATTCTTACAGCCACTAAATCTATCATTGGAATTACTACCATTGGGGAAACTCCCATTACCTGTGTTAGAGCCTGGATACTTGTGCTGATGTCACCACTGGCTACTTGGGAGATAATAAAATTGATTGTAGATGCTGTATTACTGTGCATATCATCAAAGTGTGGAGAAACAGCCCGGATCCTAGACAGCAGAGCAAAGGGAAAAATTCAGTCTATTGTAAGACAGCCCAGTAAGTGGGAATCATGTAATTCTGTACTAGCTCTAGATCTCAAAATATTTCTAAAATATATTATCAGATAATAGTAAGTTTTAAAATGCTTTAACTGCACACTCCCACAGAGGGCTTTTTTCAGATATATACTCTGATGAGTAAATGAACAAGCTGAACTTACTTGGGCTCAGGAATAAGGACTGGTTCAAAAATGTCATCCAGTTTGTGCTGTACAAGTTCTGGCATTTCACATCGGACTGTACCGTTGTCATTCTCAATCTCATCTAAATCCAGCTGGAATTCTCGCCGGACCATCTGGGCTGCCTCAGGATGCCCACTCATGCTTCGGGCTTGGCTAAAAGAAGGAAAAAGAGGCTCCTGAACTAAGAGAGACTTCTTAACTAAAGGGCATGAGTAGCTTTGCTGGCTGCCCCAAAGCTTCAAGACAGATGTTCAACTTCTGGTTTCAGCCCCCTGAATGATTTAGGTCCTTAAGTACAAGAATGTGGCTTAGGCAATAATATTGGTTATGCATAGCCAATAATAATAATACTGGTTATGAAGAACAGGAAAATTTTAACTTTTACTTGCATTACCAGGTAAGTTGTAAGTATTATCTCTAATTTGCTAAAGGCAACAAACCTTGTACATCTATTCCAGATAAGACATAAAATAACTATATTGAGTCAAAGCTCACTATTTATGGGCAAAAATATTAAGAAAATCTAGACTGGTTGATTGTTTTATGCCAAATGAACCAGTACTGAAGTTCTTCTGATTATAAGCAGCATTCTATACACTGTTCAGTGTACTTTATACTTTAAGGACAGTCATCTCTCCTTAAGAAGTTACTCTAAACAGGTCATGGCCAGTATTATATCTCAGAAATAAGTATGTAAAGTTTCCAAATGCAAACTGGTTAAAATTATACTCATGACACAACTCAAAATAGAGCTGTCTTACTTAGACTGTAGAATTTTGAGTGTCTAAGCCAATTCTGGGTTGCATGCATTTTATTTAGCCACATCTCAAGAATAGGAACCTGAGGACAATCAAATGTAACATGACACCAAGTTGCCATATCTGCTAGCCACTGGACTTCCATAGAAGTGGCTACCTAGTACCCAGGTTATGAACTCAAATTCAGTCACCCTCCAGAGGGGGATGAATCCATGTAAGAAGTTAGAAAGATATAAGAGCCTTGCTAATGAAAAATTAGCAGGCGGTACTTACATCCTATAAGTGCGATACATAATTCTGTCCACGGAAAAGCAGTGAAAGAAGGCACAAGACCATTTAGAAGTGATTTTGAGACAAAGACAATGAAGACCAGAAGATTAAACATTTGGCTATAAGACATATACCCAGGTATCAGTCATGCATGATAATGACTACAAGAACACAAGATTATGTTACAGGACAAGCTCTAAGCACATAAAGCTAGGTGCATAAAGATGCTCTCAGACAACTATTTCCATCTCCATACTTAAGTTTGGAGGACATGTCCTCAGCTGGTCCCTTGCGCAGCATGTTGGCATTGGAGTTTATGCCCTGTATGCGCTGTGGTTTCTCTTCCACCTGTTTCATTGGGGCAGTAGAGGGCCTCTTTGCAGACCGTTTAATCCTCTCTTCGAGCATGCTCATATCCTTCTCAGAAAGCTGTAAAAATAGCCCAATTAAGCCTATTAGTATATTCACACAGAAAAATACGAGAATTTCAAACTTAATGGAAGACTCACAAATTACATACTGCTGGGCACAGTGACACACATCTATAAACTTGCTACTCTAGAGGCTGAGGCAGGAGGATGTCAAGTTTGAGACTATCCTACATACTTAGCAAGACTTTATCTCAAAATAAAATTTAAAAAAGGGATGGAGATATAGAACACTTATACAGCATTTGAAAGACCATGGGTACAATTCTAGCAACACTCTCTCATTCTCATTCTCTTTTCATACTGAAGAACTTGTTCTACCAGGTTAAGACAAGTCTACTTTCAGAACAATACATTGGTCAAATACTGCTAATATCTACTTAGCTATTAAAAAAATTACAAAGGAGGGCTGGGAAGGTGGCTCAGTGGTAGAGTGCTTGCCTTGCATGCCTGAGGCCCTGGGTTTGATTCCTCAGCACCACATAAGCAAAAAGAAAAAAGCCAGAAGTGGCGCTGTGGCTCAAGTGGTAGAGCCCTAGCCTTGAGCTGAAGAGCTGAGGGACAGAGCCTAGGCCCAGAGTTCAGGCCCCACGACCGGACCCCCCAAAAAAAAAATTACAAAGGAAAAACAATGATGCAACAAAAAAAAGGCTATTAACAAATACAAGTAACAAGGTAAAAAGTTAAATCTTCCTGCCCAGCAATGGAAAGTGCATTATCTCCCACTAACAACTAAACAGCTGGAAGTTGAGCTGTGGCTCAAGTGGTAGAGTATGAGCTTTGAGCCCAAATGCTAAGGGACAGTGGTCAAGTACCCAAGTTGAAGCACCAATAATAGCACCCAAGCACAAAAATAAGTACAATAAAGTATGTACTTATTTGTCATGAGGCTTGAACTCAAGGCCTGGGCATTGTCCTTGATCTCATTTACTCAAGGTTAGCACTCTATCACTTAGAGCCACAGTGCCACTTCCAGTTTTCTGATGGTTAATTGGAGTCTCACAGACTTTCTGCCTGGCTTCAAAATATGTTCCTCAGTCTCCTGAGTAGCTCGGATTACAGGTGTGAGCCACCAGTGCCTGGCTTAAAATGAATCTTGGACTAAGTAGCTGCATATGTATAGGCAATAATCTTAACTATTGGTCTCAAAAAAAAATTGTTTTTTTGGTTGGTCCTGGGGCTTAAACTCTGGGCCTGAGCACTGTCCTTTAGCTCTTTAGCTCAAGGCTAGTGCTCTACCACTTGAGCTACAGCGCCACTTCAGGTTTTCTGGTGGTTTATTGGAGATAGGAGTCTCACGGTCTCCCCTGCCTGGGCTGGCTTTGAACCGCAATCCTCAGATCTCAGCCTCCTGAGTAGCTAGGATTACAGGAGTGAGCATCAGTGCCCGGCTGGTCTCAAAATTTTGACCTGCTTTATCTCCTTCACTGTGTGGTGATGATTTGATTAAATAATAGAAGTAAAGGATAGAATCACAGAACAAATAAATGGTCTATTAAAACAGTTACAGAAACAACAACAACAACAAAAAATGAGGTATAGAGACTGTAGTGGCTAGCTGAAGTAAGGAGTCAGAGACAGAACCTAATGTGCCCAGAAAAGTGACTCTTGGCTGTCACATGAGAATCTTTTGATATGACAGTATTAGTACCTACACTGTTCCCAAGGTAATATCTGGTTAAATAAAAATGAAATACCTTTCTACAGCAGATTGCCACACAATTAAAGCTCCAGACTAGCTCAGATCTGATTCAAAAATAGTTCTCATGTCTAAAGCCAACTGCTATGAATAAAATGCTCTGAAAAAGAAATTTGATCTCTATTAAAACATAGCTTAAAGTTCAATAGTAATCAGAGATGCCTATTTGGATGGATTGAGTTTATAACAAGTGATAAAGCTTAGGTATATGAGACTTCAGGAAACACAACCTAAAAACTCTTTTCATAATAGGTCGGCAATGCCCATAGAACCATCACTTACATTTCCAATCAGTTTGAACACCTGATCTCCATGTACATTGTATACTGTTACGATGGTGTTGAGGGCAGCATTGCGTACAGCGTTGTCACGATCTCCTATATGGATAGCTATCTCCTTTAAGGCTTTTCCTGGGGTTGGCTGGCAAACATTCATGCCATAGGACTCAACCAGACACCCCAACTCTTCTAGACACTCTGTTGGAGAAGGAAGGCTAAATGAATGCGACCCAAAACATATCTGGCACAGATGACTTTCTTTCTTTTAACTACATAAATTCTATTTGGCACATATGCAAGACTTTAGAATCTAATTCTGACTCTGTGTGTGTGTGTTTTGGTCCGGTTTTGGGATTTAAACTCAGGGCCTAGGTGCAGTCCCTGTTTTGTTCAAGGCTAGAGTTCTACCACTTGGGCTACAGCTATACTTCTGGCTTTTTTGGTGATTGACTGGAGTTAAGAATCTCACAGACTTTCCTGACCTAGCTAGCTTCAAACTCCAAATGTCAGATCTCAGTTTTATGAATAGATAGGATTATGGGTGGGAACCACTGGCACCCACTTCTAGGTGTATATGTTTTTAAAAATAATTTTTACTCCGAGTACTGGTGGCTCACACCTATAATCCCAGCTACTCAGGAGGCTGAGATATGAGGAACACGGTTCAAAGCCAGCCTGGGCAGGAAAGGTCTGTGAGACTCTTATCTCCAATTAACTACCAGAGAACCAGAAGTGGAACTGTGGCTCAAGTGGTAGAGCACTAGCCTTGAGCTTAAGAGCTCAGGGACAGCTCAAGAGTTCAAGCCCCACAACTGACAAAATATGTAGTAGTAGTAATAATAATATAAAAAATAATATTTTTTTCTTATTGTCCTTTACCAATGAAATAAGAGTTCTATAGCAATTTTTCCTGAAAGAGATACCTGTGAGTCAGATGGCCCCTGTGCACTTGAGTTTGTCACCAGGGTGGTACTGAGTGAAGCCTGTATCACCTGATACCATGGCCCCACCAGTGTGCAACTCATCACTCTCACAGACTAAATCAAAGGATTAGAATTAGCTATACAGACTGAATAAATTTTATTGCTCATCTATAAACCACTTCTTCTAAGAGTCCCCATTGCAGATAGACTCAAATGTCTATTTATACTATTTGAGGCTTAAAATATGATGCTCTGGGTTTGATTACACACACACACACACACACGAGTTTGCTTCACCGGCTCTCTGCGTGCACACACACACACACACACACACACACACACACACACACACACACACACACACACACACACACTCCTATACAATATGAGAAAAAAAAACAGAGTTTTTGGATTTGGTTCCTTCCATGATGAAGAGGAACATTTTGCTGGCTGGGTAAACAAGGCACATCCGGTTTAGGATGGCACGAACATCTCTACGAATGACATCCTTTGGTTCTCCAACCTAGTCAGAAAAGAAAACAAAGAGTGAATGAGACCTTATCTTGACAGTAAGATGAGTAATAAAAAGTATAATAGAAAAAATGAAAAGGGGCAAAGAAATAAAAACAGGAACTGAGCACAAACTTTGTAAGCAGTCTCCTAGAACAACATATTACCTTAACAATGAGATAGGGAATAAAGGAAGATGCTTCACTCTCAGTAAGATGATATTCCTCTTCACTCAGCAGAGTGAAAAGCAACTTTAAATATTCCAGTGCTTTCATCAGGACACTCGTATTGGTGTCAAAAAACCGCAGGGTAAGCCATTTCAAGATAAGATCCAGGCAACCAATAACACCCTCTTTTTCACTCTCCAAGTGCTTAAAAAAAACAAAAAGAAAAACAAGTATAAATACACCTGTATTAGAGGTTAGGTTCTGTCAGACAAGTACTCATTAAATTTTTATGAAGCCCCAAAAGAAAATATTTATTTTTATCTTTTTGTCAGTTGCGGGGCTTGAACTCAGAGCCTGGGCGCTGTCTGCTCCTGAGCTTTTTCTGCTCAAGGTTAGTGCTTTATCACTTTGAACCAAAGATCCACTTCTGGTTTTCTAGTGGTTAACTGGAGACAAGAGTCTCATGGACTTCTTTGCCCAGGCTGAGTTTGAAGTGCAATCCTCAGATCTCAGTCTTCTGAGTAACTAGGATTATATGTGTGAGCCACCAGTGCCTGACTAATTTATTTACTTTCTTGGCAGGGTTTCACTATATAGTTCAGGTTGGTCTTGAATTCAGAACCTTCCTACTTCAGCCTCTGAAGTACTATATCACCACACATACAGAAATGATAGCTTCAATTAAAATGCCAAAATATACAATCATTTATTCTATCAAATAATATAGCTCTACAAAGTGAAAATACAGTATGGTATATTCTACTTCCTTCTTAATAAAGGCATGTAAACTTTCACTTATTTTATTTTTTATTTTGTTTGTTTTTGGGTCCGGTCATGGGGCCTGAACTCTGGGCCTGGGCGCTGTCCTTCAGCTCTTCAGCTCAAGGCTAGCAGTCTACCACTTGCGCCACAGCACCACTTCCGGCTCTTTTTTTTTTTTCTGCTTATGTGGTGCTGAGGAATCGAACCCAGGACCTCACGCATGCAAGGCAAGTGCTCTACCACTGAGCCACCTTCCCAGTCCTTTCACTTATTTTATGGGCTCACAATTTTCATATGCCTGAAATATGGGCATAATTATTTATTACAGACTCACATCAACCATAACAGCCAGAGCTTTATTATGGTGCTGAAAATCTGAGTGAAACATTTCATCCTGTAACCATTTAGCCACACAGCTAGACATCTGAGTCTTGAGTTGTTCAATGTATTCATCCCGAGGGGTAGTAAAGTTCCACTTTAGCACCTGAAAAAAAGAAGAAAGGAAAAAATAGTAAAAAATTGGCTGGCTATAAAGTATTCAGCTGAGCAAACAATCTTACTTAAAGCAGCTATAAGATTTTATTTATGATAAGTATTTTTTATTTTCTTTTTAAGACAGGTCTTGCTATACAGCTCAGGATGAAATAGAATTCATTATGTAGCCTAAGCTCGTTTTTAACCACTCAATTCTTCTGCCTCAGCCTCTCCAGTGTTGGAATTCTTTATAGGCACAGGCTACAACTCCTGGTTCCTGGATACTTTTTAATTAAGCAAGATTCATTTATGAGGGGCTGGGAAGGTGGCTCAGTGGTAGAGCGCTTGCCTTGCATGCCTGAGGCCCTGGGTTCAATTCCTCAGCACCACATAAGCAAAAAGAAAAA